AAGGCTTGGAAGTCATTAGATGCAAAAGCACAACACATCATAATAATGACTATAGACCAATCAGTTAAAATGCATGTAGTCACTTGTGACACTTCCAAACAAATGTACGACACTTTAAAACGCCTTTTTCAAAGAGATACGACACAGCAAAAGTGTTCTTTATTGCAAGATTTCTACAACTTCAAATTCGATCTTCAAAAGGACATGATGTCAAACATAGCCTACATACAGAACATTGCTTTTAAGCTTAACAGACTTGACCAAAAAGTGGACGACACGATGCTACTCACAAAGATCCTGAGTATCCTTCCAGACCAATATAAACATTTCTCCAGTGCGTGGGATTCTACCAGTGCAACCGAGAAAACCCTCGAGAACCTGAAGGCTAGACTGTTGCAAGAAGAGGCGAAGACCGTGAGTGACTGTGAGCAAGTAGCTTTTAAAACCAAATCTCAAGGTAGGCCTAGAGTTGTAACATGTTATTCTTGTAAGGAATCAGGACACATTCGTCAAAACTGTCCTAACGTAGGCCTAAAATCAAAATTTTGTTCATACTGTAAGAAACCTAATCATGTAGAAAGTGAATGTTTTTTGAAAAATAAGCAGCCTAAAGCATGCAATATATGTAAGAAAACTAACCATTCTGAAAAGAATTGCTTTTTCCGTAACAAATCTAAATTTAAACCTAAAGATGACTGTAAAACATCTTTTCTGAGTCATGTTAATCTGCCAACAAGGAAGTCTACACAACTAGGCGATTGTGTTAACCTATGCGATAGCGTTAATACCAAATCTTTCATTATTGATAGTGGTTGTACCCCTAATCACATGACAAATGATATTTCTATTTTAGAAAATGTAAAATCATGTACTAAAAGTATTTCTGTTGCAAAGAAAAATCAAAGCATGCAGCAAATTGCTGTAGGAAATGTTGACTCTGACCAATGTACACTAAAAAATGTTTCTTATGTACCAGAGTTAAGTAATAACCTAATGTCTGTCAATGCAATTACCGAAAACGGTGGCGAAGTATTATTCACAAAAAACAAGGTACAAGTTCTCAAAGATAAGTCTATCATTTTAGAAGGGTGTAAAAATAAAAGTGGTTTGTATGTAGTTCAGTTAACGGAAAGTGTAAATGAAGTCGCTACTGTAGGCCTAAGCAAATTTGATCAAAATGAATGTAGGCCTAAACCTTTTGATACAGAAAGTGTAAAACCTATCCAAAAACAAACCAATGTACCGGTAATCATAAAGTCAAACACTAGCCCTACTACACGTAATGAAGTAGCTTTAGAATGGCATAGAAAGTTAGGTCATATCAGTTTTCCGTATATGAAAAAGTTGACAAAAATTAGTAATGGCATTCCAACTGATGTTTATATGTGTGAAGATGAATTTTGTGATATTTGTATTAAATCTAAGCAAGTAAGGAATCCTTTCAATACATCTAGAGTAAAAGCTTCTAGACCTTTAAAACTGATACATTCTGATCTTTGCGGTCCGATTGAACCCTTGACTCACGATGGTAAAAAGTATTTTTTAACTGTTATTGATGATTTCTCTCATTTTTGTAAGGTGTATCTATTAAAAAGTAAAAGTGAAGTGTTTAGCTACCTAAAAGAATATGTAAATGAAGCAGAAGCTCATTTCAATCTTAAAATTTCTAAAATAAGGTGCGACAATGGTGGTGAGTATGTTGCCAGTGGTCTGAAAGAGTATTGCAAATCTAAAGGAATTGTCATAGACTACACAGTACCTTATTCACCCCAGCTCAACGGAACAGCCGAAAGAATGAATCGCACATTAATGGAAAAGGCTCGAGCGATGATTTTTGACTCTAATCTACATAAAGAAATGTGGGGCGAGGCTATTTTAACATCTGCATACCTACTTAATAGAAGCCCTACTGTTAACCTAGATACAACACCTGCTGAAAAATGGTACGACAGAAAACCTGACCTTTCAAGACTTCAAATATTTGGCACAGTAGCCTATGCAAAAGTCTTAGGCTATTTAAAGAAATTGGAAGCAAGAAGTAAAGAAGCTATTTTTGTCGGATATGCAATGAACGGCTATCGATTGTGGGATCCTGAAAAAAGAAAAATATTTATCTCTAGAGATGTGATTTTCAAAGATGCAAACTCTGAACAAATTAAAATAAAACAGATGCAAAATAATTTTTCTGATGAAGATTGTACACAAACTGCAGAAGATGAAGAAAGAGAAGAACACATGAATGAAACTCAAGGAGAAGATCAAGAAAACCAACTAGGTGCAAACCTAGAAGAAGAAAATATTGGAAGGCCTGATATAAATGAAGAAATTGAAAATGAACGACACTACAATCTGCGACCAAGAATAAATATGAAACGACCTTCAAGATATGAAGAAGAATATGAAAACGGCCAAGTTCTGCTGACGTACAATGAATGTATGACTAGTAGCGATAAAGAAAAATGGGAATTGGCCATTAAGAAAGAAAAACAATCCTTAGAGAAGAATGAGACTTGGGAAATAATAGATGAAAAACAACTGAATGAAAATGATGAAATACTAACAAGTAGATGGGTGTTTAAAATTAAAGAGGATGGGACATATAAAGCCCGTTTAGTAGTTCGAGGCTGTGAACAGAAGAAAGGAAATTTGGACTTTAGAGATACTTTCAGTCCAGTTGTGGAAAGTGCTTCTTTAAGAATTCTTTTCTCACTAGCTGCTCAAGAAAACTTACATATCCAAACCTTCGATGTAAAGACTGCTTTCCTGTATGGGGAAATTGAGAATGATATTTATATGAAGATACCAGAAGGATTTAAGGAACAAGGGAAAATTTGCAAACTCAAGAAAGCCCTCTATGGTTTAAAACAAGCTCCAAGTCAGTGGAATAAGAAGTTAACCTCATTTCTGAAAGATGAAGGACTAATACAGCTCAAAACCGATCAATGCCTGTTTAAGGATATTAAAAATGAACTTTATTTGGCTATTCATGTTGACGACGGCATCTTAATGGCGAAAAATCAAAATAAACTTAAAGACCTGCTAGAAAAACTCAGAACTAATTTTGAGATGACAATTAACAAGAATCCAAATATGTATATTGGAATGGAAATAACCAGGAAAAAGGAAGGCATCTATCTCAGTCAAACAAACTATGCAAATCAAGTACTCAACAACTTTAATATGACAGAGTGTAAGTCAGTATCTACTCCCTTAGAAGAACAGACTAAGATTGTTGATGAAGATGGAAAAACTAACTTTCCTTATAGAGAAGCTATAGGAAGCCTTCTCTACATGACTAATAAAACCAGACCAGACATGACATTTGCAGTTAATTTTGAAAGCCGCTCTACCGAAAATCCGAGAAAAAAGGATGTCCAAAACATCAAGAGAACTTTGAGATACCTCAAAGGAACAAAAAACAAAGGAATATTTTTTCCTTCAACAAGTTCTAAAGACCTAAGTATTCAAGCGTACTGTGACTCAGACTACGCAGGAGATGTAAAGGATAGAAAAAGTACAAGCGGATATGTCCTGCTGTTAGGAAGTGCACCAATTGTATGGAGTTCAAAAAAACAACCAATAACTGCTCTATCAACAGCTGAAGCTGAGTACATATCTGCAGCTGAATGTTGCAAGGAAATAAAATACATCAAGACTCTAATCACAGAACTGACCGAAAAAACTGTGAAAACTACCCTGAATGTTGATAATCAAAGTGCCATAAAACTCATCAAATCAGGTCAAATGAACAGAAAGAGTAAGCATATTGATGTGAGATTTCACTTTGTGAGCGAACAATTTCATGCCAAACTATTTGACTTAAAGTACTGCTGCTCAGAGGACCAATTGGCTGACATATTCACAAAACCTTTGTCCAGCACAAAATTTTCAAAGTTTACAAGTCAGCTATTAAGTAATGTGTAAAGACATAATTTAGCCTACACAAATCATGCAGGCTACTTAGCATACTATTTTTAAATGGCAAATCTTTTTTTAGAGAAAAATAAATAAACAGCCTACTGTCAATTTCATACTTACAATTTGTTAACATGATAGGTACTTAACAATTTCTTATGTAAAATAATATCATGTTCCAATAAAATAACACTATTTTTCTGTATTTGTAAAAAAAAAAAACATTTGTACATTAAGGGAGTGTGTTGGATAAACTATTGTTAGGCTATATGTTATCAATTTAGGCCTATGTAATAGTTATCTCTGTGTAATGTAAAAATGTTTTTTTTCACTGTTGTAATGTTGGCAACTCTGCTAGTTGAAATAGAGACTATCTTCTCAAGTAAAATGGTGTTTTACTATAACCTAATCACTGCCTTAAAACTAAACTTAAAAACCCTTTAAAAACTAATATCGCCCGCGTCATTGTCGATAATGTATTCTGGATGTAAATCACAGATGGCGCGCGATATGGTGCATTGTTTGAGCAGTTCGTGGTTCGTGCGTCGCCTGGAGCGTGTTGCAGATTGCAGTTGCAGTCAGGAGCTAGCTAGCTCACCACTCACACCACACTGCGTCTATCTACCATAGCCAATACTAGACCATTTATAATAGCGCATGCTACTTTGCGATTGTCTCTTCCCAACTTCTCCTAGATGTTCCCCTACAAGCTAATATTGTGTTTGATCCGCTGTCCGCCACCAGATGGTGATGATATCTCGTCAGCAACTCCTTTGTTGCTGGGTCCACGACTCCTCCGACCGCCTCCTCTTTGACCATTGTTCCAAGGCAACTTTACGTGTTGTATTGTTTTACCTCCTGTCGGATTTATCACCTTTTTTTTCTAGACCTTTCAGTTTGCTTTTTTAGACTAAATTTTTCCTGTGGGATGGTTTAACTTATAGAATCCAAAGGTTGAAGACAGAAAGGGTCACATGCATTTTTAGCCCCACTGGCCTATTTTTCATGCCTGTGATATCCAAATGTTGAGCTCGTATCTCTTGTCTAAGCAGAGGTGGTCTGACTCTTTACCCTCCTTGTTACAGGGACTCTCTGTACCGGCTGAAGCTACGAGAGTTGCAGAGGTTAGAGAGAGCTGTGTGGTTGGCACCTCCGGACAAAGTACAACTATGTCAAGACAAGGGCCAGACCGAGTCAGACTGTCACAACTACATCAAAGTTCTGCTCAGTAATGGCAAGCGCCTGTTTAGCTGTGGAACTAATGCCTTTACGCCACAATGTTCCTGGAGAGAGGTATGTGTGATATTCAACTTTTTTATACTATCCCTACATCTTGTAAAAACCACCTTATTAAAGTAGTAAAAATATTTAGTGTCTTCTGATTCTATTGCTGTGTTTTGCATACATTAACAATGAATTTCAGCCCATGAATGGTCGCAAGTGTTTGTTTTGTGGATGCCTCCCAGTAAGTTTTGCGTCATCAACACAATCTAATCCTTACTTGTTAAGATCTCTTCATATTCTGTACTATTGCTCATCCATCATGCTCACTGCTATGTTTGTGTTGTTCAGATGGAGGATGTCAGCAGAGTTCTAGAGTGGGTACAAGGGGTTGCTAAATGTCCCTACTCCCCCCACTCTAACATCACTGCCCTCATGACTCTAGATGGCCAGTACTTTGCTGGTAGTCCGATGGACTTTTCCGGCACCGACCACGCCATCACCCGAGACCTGGGGGCTCCCTACCTCCGAACTAACCAGTACAACTCCAAGTGGCTCAACGAGCCGCAGTTTGTTGGCTCCTTTGAAACTGACGCATTTGTTTATTTTCTTTTCCGGGAGAGCGCAGTAGAATACATCAACTGTGGAAAGGTAAAGTTTTTTAAAGGCAGTGAAAGCAGTGCCATTTTTGGTTTAGTTTTAACACAATACTATAATCTGTTGATCATTTCCTTTTCTTAAATTGGTGTAAGTACTAGTTAAGCATAAAGACTCTTAGAAACACAGGTAGACTTGACCTTATTTTCTTGCTAGGGAGATTTGAGGACCTGCTTAAATTGTCATCATGTGCGAGTGCAACCAGCATTATGGGTTGAAACAGCTCAAGAAATTTCAAGTTTTAGTTTTCGGTGTACTAGGGCTTGACGAGTTTTTATTTCAAGTACCTAGCTATTTATTGGTTATTGTGCATATGCTTTTGAAGCAGCTGTTATTAGAATCCAGAGGGATTTTTTATGTCAACCACATTGTGAGTTGGAGATTGTTGCCAGACATTTGCTGCTTCTTTGAAGAGGTTCCCTCAGTCTTAGCTTAGCCACTGAGGACACCTCTTCTATATAATTAAGGGCTGAGCATTTGGCAGCAATAACTAACTAACAAGGTCTTTGACTTAAAAACCACTATGGATTCTAACTGTTAGTTATTGGTTACCTTGAGCTCTGGAAACCTTTATTTCTAGTACTGTGGATTATATATCCTAACAACTCAATAATTATTACAGAAAATTTATTCAAGAATTGCAAGGGTGTGCAAGAATGACCAGGGAGGCCAGCTGATGTTGAGAGACAACTGGACAACTTTCCTGAAGGCTAGACTGAACTGCTCCTTGTCTGGGGAATATCCATTCTACTTTGATGAGATCCAAGGAATGACATATTTGCCAGATGAAGGTCTGGTATATGCAACTTTTACCACACCCAGGTAATTACACCAAACTGTAGTAAAATAATTAATCAATGATGAAATTGTGGTCAAACTAAGAACTCATCCAAACAGACAACATAGTACCTTTAGTTTTATTTAGAGAATAATTTGCTCCATCCTACATTCTTTAAACATTTAAATTTTTACAGTCTGAAAAAAAGGTTAACTTTAAAAAGTAGATAAATAAAAATATACTATTATTTTGAAGTGGTCTGTAGCTGCGATAAATATCAAGTACTAGCTGTAACCCGCGGGCTTTGCCCCGTTTAACTTCTTAATTTTCAAGATTATCTCGTTCGCATGGCTCAATCACGTCCTGGTTGAAGTTTGTTCGCTACGCTCACTCACCTTTAGGTTGGAGCTCGTTCGCTACGCTCACTCACCTTTAAGTTGGAGCTTGTTCGCTGCGCTCACTTGCCTTCAGGTTAGCTCGTTCGCTACGCTAACTCGCCTCCAGGTTGAAGTTCGTTCGCTACGCTCACTCACCTTTTGGTTGCAAATTAGCTGTTGTCATAAATGTAAAAGAAATAATAGTGCTGCACCCTGTTGGTAAACCTTGTAACTTTAATGCTATTGAACATCATAGAACAGAACCATCTTGTTTAATTGAAACAGCTGTTAAGATTCAATAATTCCATTTCTCATAAGGTTAACATGGGAAACTCCAGTCTTCCAGAGCCACTGGGGCGGAGCCCGAAAGGATTTTTGAAATAAGAATATGCCTATATGTTAATCGGGAATGTGAGCTATCATCATGCCAAATTTCAGCCCAATCCGACCAGTATTTTTCGAGTTTACTTTTCCCATACACACATACACACATACAGCAACCACCTCTTTTTTATAATAGTATATAGATTTTTTCATCCAAACAACAAGACGGGCATCAAAATGGGTTATATTGACAGACTCGTTATGGTGTACTGTACAGTCATAACAAATAGCACACAATTTCTTGCACATTAATCGTTCACAGGGAGGGTCGGACAAAATGATAAGCCGTGTAACCAAAGATTGAAGATTAGCTAATTAAGACTCTACAGTAGTACTATCATTGATGGCATCAATAAACAGTTAACTTCTATTTCTCATTAATATTTCAATCTTACAGAAACAGTATCCCAGGATCTGCGATTTGCTCGTTCAACCTGACTGCAATACAGACAGCATTCAATGGAGCCTTCAAGTACCAAGCATCCACAGGTTCGGCTTGGGAACGTCACTCACCATCCTCATCTGGGTCCCGCCAGGCTCAGTGTCAGCAGACGACACAGTCAGTCCTGCAGTCCTCCAGGTATCAGCTGATGGACAGTGCAGTGCAGCCAACCTCACAAATGCCGCTGTACACATCACAGCTGGAGACCATAACTCACATCGCTGTTGATGTCTTGCCTACCAAACTGCACATGTAAGTGAACATTTTCAATTAAAGTAATCGTTCTTTTATCCGTAAATGTTTAAATTACACTGTGGAATAGTTTTGTTTTTTGAAAGTTGCATATTCATTTATATTCGTGGCAAATTTTAGGATGAATATAAATGCTAGGTGAATCTAGAATTAGGTATTCGTTTGTAGAGTTGTAACTATTTTTAAAGCTACCAATTATTTAGCCATAATGATTATCATTAATAAACTGATTTACGTAATGTCTATGTTCAGTTATAAACCACAACAAAGTTTAATCCTTTCAAAAATTAACTTACTATTTTCACCACAAAAAACATGAAATGGTAATATTGGATTCATAATAGATACCAGATGGTTTCAATAACTTGTAATTTTAATAATACACTTGTGGACAATAGTTGGATGAGATGTTACCCAACCATTATTTTATTGGTTAAAGGTTTCAACACTCATAACCATAATCAATTTTAACATATTTTTACTATTTTTTCTACGATGAATTATTTAGTAAATACTTTGATACAAAATTATATTAAAATCTCAAATCTGTGATTTCAGGGCTGTGCATGTACTCTACGTTGCTACTTCGGATGGTTTGATTAAGAAAATATCAGTCCTTTCTCGAACGCATACAACATGTGTTTTGGAAATCTGGAGGCCATTCCCAGTGGATGTTAACATTCCAATTCTAACTCTACAATATTTGAAAGAAACGGTAAGTAATTTTTGGGGAAATAAATTCACTGCTAAGATATGATATCTTGATGTCTATAACATGTGTCTTCTTCTATTCAAAATTATTAATTAACCAATGCAAGTGAGTAACATGGCACACTTTTTGGTGCATTGAAGACATTTTTTGATTTTTTAATTGTGAGTCTAGTGAACCAAACACTCAATCTTAATTATCTTATTAATTATTAATTGCTTGTTAATTATCTGTATTTATCAGTTTGCCGGTACCAAATTTTTACCTGCTTTTTAGTGCATCCCACAACCAGGCTTGAATCTCAATGCTGCTGTTGAATAAGCAAATGAATCATGTTCAACTACAATTACATCCAGCTGTTTATAGCTGGGTTGCTGAGTGGATGAAGTGCTCACTTTCGTGGTTGTCGCTGCCCTTGAGCATTAGGTTTTTGAAAAACGTTCTTTGGTAGAGAACCATATAATCTTAGTCAGTAACAAAATTGTCATTTCAATCATTCAACACATCCCTCACTAATTTTTTACTTAAAATCTGCACTCTGTGTGTCAGCGTAGTTTGAATCTGGTCTAATCTCAGCACTGGCAGAAAGGTTTAGAAGGTATATTCCTATGGAGAAAATGTCACTAATAATTTAACTGTGTTTATCGCAGGATTCTGTGTACGTGGGTACGCAGGAGCAACTGCTCCGTATCCCGGCCCAGCACTGTAGCAGACACCAGACCAAGATGGCGTGTGTCAACGCCATGGACCCTTACTGCGGCTGGAGTGAACACAAGGAGAGATGCATGCCAGCTCCCAACAACGACCCTCTCGCTTCTACCTGGCACCAGGACGCCACACAGTGCCCCATCCTCAACATGCCTAGTGAGTGGCCAAGAAATCGGTTTAGCTTACCCAAGAAAAGAGGCTGTTGACAGCACTGGAAAAGTTAACAACACAAATAAATTAAAATGTTCATCCCTAAATAGGGCTTCTTCAGAAGGAAATTGTAGAGGTAGAAATATCAAATTAATTGTAATGTGAACTTTTTTTGCGCCTTTTAACTGCCTGGATCTCTTTTCTTGGGTAAATATTTTAAATTATCATACTTCTATGTTCTACTAAAAAGTTGTTTAACTCAACAAAATGATTTTTTGATTGCTAAACTCAGTAGATGGTTAAGAACCTTAGATTAGGTGTAAAATGCAAAATTGGTTTAAATTATCTACTGTGTTGAGTGATCTATGATTAGTAGTACTTGTCCTTAAGTTCCATCTTCAGGTGTTACAGATGAAACTTGGAGCTAACAATTTTTTTATTATTTTAATATTAAATGGATGTGTGTACACGGTTTCTGTGTTCGATTCCAATGGTTTTGGCAAATCTACCTACGTTGGCTTAGTGACAAATTTGTTTCATGTTCCTGTAACAACAGAATATGAACTCATGAAGTCTGAAGCTATTTTGCCTAACCTACCTAACACACATCTTTTTACATAGCTGGTAATCCAAACCATATTTCAGTCAGTCCATCAGTGATCCAGAGACTGATTCATAATTTAAAACCATCGATTCTTTATTTTTTAACTATGAGCCATATATTACATCTAATCTAATACTTTATTTAACTAAATAAAAAAATGTTATTAAGGATAAAAGTCAATAAAATTTTTGATTAGTATCTGGAGGCTGGTCTGCTTGGTCTTCATGGAGTCCTTGTACTCACGCCACCTACAACGACTCAGCAGACGAGTGCCAGTGTTCCACACGCAGGTGTGACAACCCGGCCCCTAGCCACGGTGGAGACTCTTGTACCGGACCCAGCATCAAAGTAGCCAACTGCACAGTCCACGGCGCTTGGAGCAGTTGGTCAGCCTGGTCAGCGTGTTCCCAGACCTGTGGTGTAGCTGTCAAGACTCGTCGTCGTACTTGCGGCAACCCTGCTCCTGCGTTCGGAGGCCGAGTCTGTGTTGGGATGGATAGACATGAGATGTATTGCCATTCAAACCCTCCCTGTCCTGGTGAGTTATCTTGCAAGATTTACTGTGTAAGGTTTAAAACACCTGCAGTTTGATTTTGCACGCATGTCCTAACTATTCTTCGTTTATGTTTTTACACCATTGGCCTTTTTTTTTGTTGCAACAAACCCTGGTCTTGTTGATCTGTAACTTGACTTTTGCTATATACCATTATTAATTTATACGAGTATAGCTCAATGACTAATAGCATACTATAATCAAACTTATTAAAACAGAGTTTTTTTTCAGAGCAGTTAAACAGAGACCTCAGATTTGAAAGTATGCTCTATGCTCTAGAAAAACTCTCCTACCCAATCAATTTTTACGATCTCAACAGTCTTATGAAAGTTGATGTGAGTAATCCTAAAGGTACGGTTACACCAGAGCGAACAGGAGCGAACCGAACGTTCACTGGTGTTCGCTGTGGTTCGCTAGCATTCCTGAACACCTGGGAATGGGAGTAGTCACACCAGAGTGAACACACACGAATCGTCTTGATTAAACGTCATTCGCTTGTGCTCCGAAACCACAAAAACTGCACGGTGACGATAATCCCTGTTATCGTCACCGTGCAGTTCTTAAACAGAATAACTGTTTAATAACAATAAAAAAAACTGTTAATTTTTTATTTAACAGTTTATAATCAGCACTATTAGGATCCCATAACACTGGCCTTGCTTTATATTCTCCTCTCTTATCGTTCGCGCTGAAACCGACAATGGATGGAGCAGGCGCGAACACGAACATGTGACTACCGAGCACTGCTGAACACGGCCGATTGGTGTTCGCTGCGTCGGTCACACCGAAGTGAAATTCGCATTCGTTACTGCTCGTTCGCTCTGGTGTAACCGTACCTTAATAAAAGTAATGAGGAGGTTTATAACTTAGCAATCACTATTCTAGATCTGCTAGCAATACAAACACTAATCACCTGGGTTACTATTACAGCAGTGACAGTGCCAGTGAGAGATGGCTCCTGGGGCAGCTGGAGTCCTTGGTCTGAGTGCTCAGTCAGGTGTGGGGGAGGGTTCCGCACCCGCACCCGTCGCTGTGACAACCCTCCCCCCCAGGCACCAGGGGGACTGGACTGTGTGGGCTGCTCGTTGGATTTTGAGACGTGCAACACTGCAGCGTGTGTGGACAGCAAGCGACTGTCATCTTGGACTTCATGGGTACCATCGGGCAACGGGACTGAGAGACGGTTTAGGTTCGCCTGTCGTGCACCGAGCCCTGACCCTAACCTTATCAAGATCACCCAGGCCAAAGAAGAGGAGAGAGTCTGTCAACCTGATGGAGTGTGTATGAGAACAGGTCAGTTTATATATTAGAAAGATTAGCAAACACATTTTATATGAGGTTTCTATACAACATGTCTTATGAACTAATTTTTGTTACTAGAAAGAGTTGTTTTTGTGTTAAGAAAAACCAGTGAAATGTCAAAGAACTAAACTTTATGCTGTACGAGTAAATCTTTTTCCAACTAATCAAGCAACAAATAGAAATGCACTTTTTCATCAACCAAGTCCACTAGTCATACTCAAGGTTCTAGTAGAACCTTGATAGTTTGACACTTTGTGGACTAAGAGAGTGTCGAATTATCAATATATCAAATTATAGGAAGTATATTTAACAATATTGTACATTTACACACCAGGAGTATAATTTTAATTATACTTACATACATTTTACATTTTAACTTACATCTCTACTGTAGGGCCTACATTCTTATTATAGATTATGTACTTAATTACATTTTTTAAATAGTATTCAACTGGTTTTCACTTTGGATGTTAGAAAAAAATTTAAATTACCATAATGGGATGGTTATTGAGTGTCCACGAAACGAAAACAATAAGAAATCTCTAAGTTTTTTACTGCAGCCATTTTACTTAATAATGTTTATTCAAGAAACCTACAATTATTGTCCAATTTATAATGATTATTATAAAAATTCATTAATTTATTTACTTGAAACAAATTAACCACACATTTTTACATATCATTTTACACCATGCTGCAAAAGCCTGACATGGCTTGTCTGCAGCTCATTAAACCAAGGGAAATCAAGTCCAAACTCATATCACTTCCATCAGTCAGTGTTTGTGTCCTCCTTATCTCTCTAGCCTGTTATCACAAACATCTTGAAGTCCCAAAAAATCTGCAGCCAAAACACTATGCTACTTTGAAAACTCTTTACAATAAAACAAAAACCTAATATGATTTAAAAAATTGAAATTCTTGACAAACTCAATAATTTAAAAAGCTGAAAACTCTTTTTTGTGTATTTATACAGTATAAATAAACTCTATTTAGTCGAAGACAAAATAACTATTAACAATATACAAATTTATAACATTTTTTTTTTTTAAACAAACTCTTAGACCCAGATGAAATAACCAGGGCTGTGCGAATCCAGAAATTTTGGTTCGAATCCGAATCCGAATCATAGCTGTAGAGATTTTATCGAATCCGGATCGAATCCGAATATTTTAATTAATCCCGAGTCGAATCTGGGTCGAATCCGAATCTCAAATTTACAGCCATTATCGAACCTGGATTGAATCCGAATCTGAAATTTAAAGCTGTTATCGAATCCGAATATTTAAACCTGTTCAGAGTCGAATCCAAATCCGAGGAAAGTCAGCAGTACCAATTTTCACATTTTTAGACCATATTTTCTGGGGCTGAAGTAACTTAGGGAATTGCTTAAAAAAATTCTTGAAATGGGCCAAATAAAAAAGTTATAAAATTTAGGCCTACCTATTTGAAGTTTTGAAACTAAAAAATTGGGCATAAGTAAGGCATACCACCTAGGCCTAAGTTACTCGCTAAAAGTGATGGACTACCAATTTGTGTAGTCTAAAACATAGGCCCAGCCTATTATACACCTCGGTGTTAATCCTCCACACAAGCCTATGTCTGCATTACTATTACAAGTAACAACTAACACTGTGAGGTTAAGTTTACTGATAGCCAAGATAGGGTTCAAATGCGACCTACACTAATGTGTCTAAAACCTAACACCAAGTTGGTCAGGTTCCTAACATGAACCAGTCAACAGCAAATCGGAGTGCACAAGTAGTTTTTTAGTGTCTAAAAAATTATATTGAAAATTATATTCAATCAGAATCTAGTAAATTTGAATATCGAATCCCAACTCGGATCTATTTCCAAGAAATTCGAATATCGAATTCGAACCCGGATCTCTTACCAGTAAATTCGAATATCGATTCCGAGTCCGAATCCAGTTAGAAACAGTAGATTCGTTCTCGAATCCGAATCGAATCTCTAAAAAGATTCGGATTCGATTCGTTTTTCGAACTATTCGCACAGCCCTGGAAATAACTCTAAATTTACCAACTAAATAACATTTCATATACCTATGTGAAACAACAATTAACATCTTTAACAAGAATAAATGTATCTCTTAACAATATATAATACAACAAAATTTATACTGACTAAACTATTTCTAAATACAGTAGAGTCCCGCAAACTCGGCACTCGATAACCCGGCAGTCTGGATAACTCGGCCATCACCTGGCTCAGAAAATTAGTAATTTTTTAAGTTCGAGTTAAACATGGACTCAAGCCAAATCATTTGCAGCTTGTACCAAGGATTTGTTGTACTATATTTGATGACTTAATACTAACTTGTAATATAAATATAAATAAAAGAGGCAGTTAATAAGCTTAAAAATTGTATTGTTATTATTTTTAACCCTAGTTCCCGATAACCCGCAATTTCACAAACTCGGCTCCCCTCCAGTCCACATTACGCCGAGTTTGAGGGACTCTACTGTAAATAAATTCTAAATTCTAAATAAATAAATATTTTACCTCCTGTTACGTCATCACGGCCCTTGTTGAAGTATAGAGAGTATCAAACTATCGAGTTTCTACTGTATCCTTTTTATTATATTTATTAGACAGAAACACAAAACCTCATCAACCACCCTACTCATAAAACATGCTTTAATGTATTTTACTTATTGATCCTCATTAGCATTGCCTATCGCTAGAGTGAGTTGTTTGTTTTCACATCTTTTGTCCATAACAGATCGGTCTGAGGCGGAGGAGGTGTGGTCTGATTGGTCGAGCTGGTCACCGTGTTCGGTGGAGTGTGGTGGGGGACAGCAGTACCGTGTACGTACATGTGACGGCCGCCCAGAAGACTGCCAGGGACTGTCCAAGATGGCTCGCACTTGCAACACCCACAGCTGCAAAGGTAGTCTTCAATCATAAATATAATACTACTTTGGTTTACGGGAAGGAACAAAGGATGGGTTACACAACTAATTTACCGAAGAAAATTGTTCAGGCAGTTGATGGTACAAAAAAGTTTACAACTCAATTAATTTGATGTATTAGAGCTTCTTCATAAGGAAGAAGAAGAATGACCATTCTTCCTCCAATACTACTAATGAAGAAGTAGTATGGTCCCTCCTTGTAGGGGCAAAATATTGAATAAGGAGTGTTTTGTGATCTTCTTGTGAGCTGTACACTGATTGTAACTCTGTTCTTGGTTAAATTAGATGAGTTTTGTTTTCTTATTTCCTCTTCAATGTATTGCTAAGCCAAGAGCTCTTTCCATAAACTAACCTAGAGTACTTTTGTTTAGTGTAAAAAATAGAAGATTTGCTGAAAACCATTTTTTATATAGATTTAAAAAATATGTTTTTGTTAAAGTCCACTTGTAAACTACTGTAGCTTGGTCTGTTGAATTGACAATATTGTTTTGTCGTAGGGGAGTGGAGTTGCTGGACAGACTGGTCGGAGTGTTCAGTGTCATGTGGTGTTGGCTACAAGCAGCGCTCTCGTACTTGTGTGGTTGTCAACAACAGAGCTGTAGAAGGCAGTGGCTGTGAAGGATCAGCCATCAGTCAGGAGCCTTGCGAGATGCCCACCTGTCAATGTAAGTACCGGTACTTCAACAGTCCATGTTTCCATCCAATGTCTAACACATATGGAGGTGATCTGCAGCTATTTAGTGTTGCTATCTATGTTTTGTTTTTGTTTTTGTTTTTTGTATCCCAGGGATGTGTTTATTTTCAAATCCTAAGACGCCACTCTAGCCCAGAACCGCTATGACATTTCTTCAGTATAGACCTACAGAGTTGTGTCATCACCTAGGTGAAATGAATTGGTGGTTGCGGGATTTGAACCTAGGGCTTAATTTGGGATTAAAATCAGCTACCACTAGTTCAGCTTGCTCTCCATGGGGTCATATATGCTGCATGGATGTTTGTGTGGCTATTCTGTTGTATGGTAGCTTAACAGTTTGCAGCAGTAATATATTGCAGGTGCGTTTCACAATTGTCTTCTTTGCAATGTGGACTTGTATTCTGTTATGTATATCTTCTGTTCTGATTAACCTGATATTCTATCCTGATCCACACATCTCATTAATCTGCATATACTGTGAATAACATGTCAAGAGCATCTTTAATAGCTAGGTTAGTTAGTTGGAAGGTCAATTCAACTAAACATTTTTGGGTAAATGACTGTAGAGGTATTCTGGAAATGAAAGACCAATTAGGAATTTACAACTGTTAAGTTACAAAATTAGTTCACAACAAAGCCTGTATTGAGTATGTTGTAAAGTGTGTGATGTGTTGCAGCGTTGCTAGGGTGGGCCATGTGGACTGATTGGTCGCCCTGTGACAGTTCTGGGCAACAACATCGGACAAGAGACTGCCTCACTTCCAACCCTGGACCTGACCTCTGTCAAGGTCAACACCGAGAGTCACGCATTTGTCTCCAGCATCCCTATGGTACATCTTACTTGAATAATTTTATAAACTAGACAGGTATACTAATATGAATGACCTTTAGATGCTGAAGTAGACATCGCATCACTATGGGCCAGTCTGTAGTCAATTTGTATTTCAATATAAAATAGTCGCATTAGCTACAGAGTACGCTACTACCAAATGTTCTCCCATAGTTTTGATAGCACGGTAGGCCTACGCTGTGTGAAGGGATGCTATGATTTACATGTGTTGTCCTTTCAATTTGGCTTGTGTGTATATTCAACAGAAATCAGTAGGGTAATTAATATCAGCACAGTCGTTGGCTCATTTGAACTACATTAATTTCAAATCTAAAACTGGCTACAGCTTAAACATATAGGAATGTAATGTCTCCTTTTATCAAGGATAATATTTATTTTCATACAAATTTGTAAATCTGTCATCATCTGTAGCTATAATTGTATAATTTTCTTTCAGCAGACAATGAGATTACTGCAGAGATGGCCTTGGACCGGGCGAGTGCAGGAGTGTCGTTTGGTTCAGTGTTTGGCCTCTGTCTGCTGGCTTTTGTGGTGGGCGCCGCAGCTGCTGTAGGTCTAGGCTACCTCTACCTCCAGCGACGCAGACCTCGCATTCCCAGCAGTCCTCACTTCATCTCCTCCAAACAGAACTCTTACGTAACCGTACCACTCAAAGAGATGCACTCACCTAAGCGGACACCTTCGTTCTCCGCCAAGAATGCCTCCTTGTCCAACGGTACTCCCAAACTGTTTGCCAAACTACCTGTTGACTATGAGACGGCGACGATAAAAAGGAACAGTCATAGTTTAGCTAACGGCCACATACGAGCCGATCTCGAGCAAGATAAGTTTTTCTAGCTGTTAAGACTGAATGATTCTTGGAGTGAATTATAAAATTAAAGTGAGTCGTCGAATGAACTTTGAGTGCAAAAAAGACTTTGATGGTGCTAGTCATAAAGCATTCATAGTTTGTGTGATACGGACTGATTACAAATAATATTATATGTAACTTTATACATATCTTGGTGCTTTTAAATGTTTAATAATTTGTATATAATTATTTTTCCACTTTTATACAAATGTAAATAATTCAAGAACTGTTTTGTTTAGGATTGTTAACTTAGAGTATTATTTAAAAGAATGTTTTATGTTTTATTTATTTTGATTATTAAAGCTAGGCTATACATTTGTAGTTTAATTGACTGTAGTAAAATTATTTCAACAAATGAAGACACATACTTTATAGAACCTTAATTATAGCATTGTAAAATTTGGAAATTGACAGTAATACTAAATTGTTATTGCAATACTAACTAACATATTGGTTATTTATTAATCACATTGTTTTGATCAGTTTAATAGAAATCTTGAAATGTCCAAGTGACTAAGCATGACTTGAAAATTTAATAATGTTATATTAAACAGTAGGCCTATTAATCTTAGACTATTTAAAGTATATTTTAAAATCAATAATCAATAATCAAAATACCAATACCAGTAACGCAAACTTTTTGTTAAAAATATAAGCACTCTTTTCTTTGCCACACTTATTCTTAGTAAAACTATAATTTCATATAATGGGGCCTTAGAAATTGTACTCTCAAAATAGACGTTTCTTGTATTTGTTTTGTTTATCTCCCCTAAGGCCGGGGCCACACTTGTAATTTCTAACCAGCGAGATTGGTTTTTCCGTTTTCACGTGCGACGCACGTGGAACAGTTTGACCGTGGCCACACTCATCTTACGAGATAGATTTTTCGGGCTAACCAGTGAAACTGATAGAGCATGCCACACTGGCAATAAAAATCGTCCGTGTCCGTGTTCCGCCTCCCCCCCCTCCACGTACTAAATCAGTCAGGTTAAAACTAGAAACGTCCGTGGAAAAAATTCAGCGAGATAAGATGAGTGCTTGTTCACTCCCATAAGCCGTAATGCCCCGCGACTAGTTTTACGTGCAACGCCCGTGTTAGTAGAGAATACACGTGCAATTCCGACAAACGCGTTCACGGACGTTTTTACTCTAGTGTGGCCTGCCCCATATATCGTAATGTATCTCTCAAACCCACGGGTAACGCCCATGGAAAAAATTCAGCGAGATAAGATAAGTGTGGCCCCGGCCTAAGTCAGTATAAAAATAATTTGTTCAACAGTTTCCTGCCTGGAAAAACTAGCGATTTCAGGGTTTTCCCGCTAAACTACTTGTCTAAATATTAACATAACTAAACAATAGATTTGCAATAGTATTTGTTAATAGCACAATAATAAGGATGACTTTTTAGTCCTTAGCACTTATTTACAAACACTATTGTGCCAAACAGTGTGTTTTAACAACGTCCAACCACCTTTCAGAAAGCCTAAAATGTAATTTTGTAATTTATTTAACACGTTTCAAATATCTTTTATCACACACATTTTTTATTGGGCAGCATCTGAGATGGTACAGCATTGCTAATATAAAATATTTTGATGATTTGTGTTCTCCAGAGATGGTTAATTTATTTTCTTTTACCTTAAAGTGTTACTATAACTTTACAGTTTGCATTTAGTTAATTTAGCTACTAAATTCATGTCTACCTAAAATAAAACAAAAGTAATCAGGATTCTAGCAATACAGTACAATATAAACAATACAATATTCTTTATTGTTCATTCGTTAAGAATTACAATAGTGTCAATACAATAGTGAATTGTAAGTGTTAATTTCCATAGTTTTCATAAAATTCCTTTATTGAGTAGAAGGGTCTTGCGATTAGCCACTTCTTCAACTCCTGGTGTAGCCTGTTGCCAGTCAGGTCTCTCAGGTAGTCAGGTAGATGGTTCCTCAGTTTGCAGCCGGTGTGACATGTGTCAGTACATGTGTTCCAGTCCCTTCACTCCCAATCACTCCATGCTATTGTGATAATACGTCTCAATGACTACGCATTTACTTACACCTGAATTATTCTAGGTAGACATGATCAAAGCAATTAATTACTTAGATAAAGCTATTAACCAAAAATAAATATTGACAATAAGACTTAACAGTGTAGGGATATTACTAATCAGATAGTTCTTTGTAAAAACCGATTGTATCTGTATATATGTATCATCAAAGCTTTTGTAAATTTTTATTCTGTACATTATTGTATATTGGGGTAAAGTTTACCCGAATGTTGTTCTGTGATTCGAAGAATATTTTGTCACAATGATGGATTACCTGTAGATAGACATTTTTATTTGATCGTTACACAGCTTGTAATAATTTTTAACATTTCCAGTTTCAAAGTTGTGTAAATAAAGAATTCATAGACTAGTCGATTATTTGAAAACTGTGAGTTGACCTATGAAACAATAATGTTGTTCATGATTTTGGTCTTTGATTATGCATAACCTTCTCTTTAATTATAATACTTGTTTGAAATTAATAACTTTCAAAATTATTTCCTTACAAAATAATTTTGTAAGGAACGTCTTGTTTTACCCAGTAGTTGATTTAAGTAGTTGGTGTAGGCATACTCTCCTACTAGGCTGTCTTTATTTATTATGAAATAAATTATTAACTTGCCATTTTATTGGAATAGTAAATTTTTATTCTTATTCATATTTTACTGACAATAATTTAGCCAAACAAACAGAAAATTATTCACATTTTTAAAACACACACAAGAAATAAAATAATTTGAAGGATTCACAACTACCGAAACTTGCAGCCTTCTTAGCTTGTTAAATCCTCTACTGGTTACTGAATAATTTGATCATCCAATGCTCACAAAACATACCTTATATGATTAGATAAAAAGCTCTTTGCAAATGTATTAAAAACTACAATTAGTCTTTCTGGAAAACGTTCTATTGATACATTTCTGGGATAAAAAATCATTTTATGTTATGTCTTTTTCCAAGTACAAACTTGTAAAAGTGCCATTATTTTACAATTAAAACCATTGTTGTAAGTGTTATGTTTATGTAGATTTTAGCCATGCAATAAAATGTTATCCTCTCATGTTTGGGGTATTTATATATTTTTACTCATATTGAGTTTTATATAAAGATTACAGATGCTAAGTATAATAATTTTATATATTGTAAATATCAATATTTTTTAATAAAATGTCATTAGAAATAATATACCATTTTTTTATTGCTATACCCATAGATAAAACATACTCCCTTAGTAGATTTCTCATCCTTATGGAACAGCTGAAGACAATTTTATTGTTAGTTCATGTACGGTTTATGTAGAGGTCGTGTTTTGTTTACAATTTGTTTCCCGTTATTACAGCCATTTAAAACCTCGTTTAACCAAATAATACGATCTAATCATAAAGAATAACTTGTCCCCTAGTTATATAACCAAACAGTAAAGCGCATTTTGGTGGCATTGCCTTGGGAGGGGCGGTAGTGTGGACGGGGGTAGGTAGCGCGGGGCCATTATGCACGCCATTCTTAAAACATCGTAAACACACGTGTAGTGTGGACAGCAACCGGTCGATGACTCCTGGCACCTGAGCCAAGTTTTGTAAAATGCTAGTAGGGAAGTAGCCTCCTGCCTTTTGGAAAAAAAAACGTGTTATTTTTGTCCCACTTTTCGGACGCAATTTTTCAACAGATTTTCTTTAGACTTGGTGACAATGTAGTTTTTATAGTTAAACAGTAGGTATAAAAGCTCTTACACCTCAAATTAATCTCCTGTGGCTGTGAAATAGCAAAAAGTATACAGTAGGCCTGCCGCACACTGATGCCGCATTTCACCTGAAGCAAGTGTTGCAAGGCAAAATGTTTCGCTGGGTACGAGCTCCCCATGTTTTTCAATGGGACGCCGCACACTGATCAAGCAAACGTTGCAAGGGGCCTCGCAACGCCTTGAAACATTTGAGCAGTTGCTCGAATGGATCCCATATAGCACGATGTTTGATGTTTCATGGAGCAAAATGTTCTGAGCATGCGCCAAATCCCTTCTAGCTAGTAAAGCTTAGTGGCTTTCAAAATTTAATTGACTGTTGTTTAAAAAATAACTCTTCTTTGAAAAATGAATTTTGAAGTTTAGTTTTAAAACTTAACAATTATATTTTTAATTTTCATTGAACAATATTGTTGTTTAATTTTTCTTGCTACCACTTTGGTAGTCATACAGCCCATACAAAGTTGTAAAATAATTAAGAAATTAGCAAGGTTACTTAGTTCATTAATCATTATTTATATAACCATCACGACATTATCTACCTAAAAATAATTTCTTATAATTGACTTCCTTGTCACATTTATTTTAAAACAATGCTGTAGTATAGGGCCAGTAAACATAATATTTTGCTTGAAGCCAAATTCTGAATCATGCTTGAACACTGGAGAAGCAAATAAACAAAACACATCAAGCAAATCGTTGTGCAACATTTTGCTTCAGGTAAAATGCTGGATCAGTGTGCGCCCAGCCTAAATGAGGTAGGTACTATTCTGTTCAGTAACCACATCACACAGTTTTCTATGAAGGAATACAACTCAGTGCAGATTGAGCTATCTTTTGGTGGTCCCAGTTTAGTATTGGTCTTACAAGAAACCAAGCAACTTTGCCAGAAGATTTTACTTCATCTGAGAGTGAGAGTACAAATTATCAGGGGTTGTCCGAGTCTTTTTGGAACAACAGCACAACCATGGAACACGCAGAGATATCTCAATGGTGGCCTCCTTGAGTTGATCACCCTGTATATTTTTACTTTCTCCCCCTATACCATAGTATATGGAGAAAGTATTGTTTTCGTCAAAATTTTCGAGTTTGAGTTTTGAGTGGATATATTCGTTTTGGGTCCCCTTGGACCCAAAAAAGTGGTTTTCGAAGTGATGTCTGTGTGTGTGTGTGTCTGTGAGTCTGGATGTGTACAGAGCTAGAGACCACACCTGTGGTCCGATTTTGATTAAATTTGGTATGTAGGTTCTAATTCATGGTATCTCCAGGCATTTTTTTAATTTTTTTGAAATTTGTATTTTTAATGGGGATTTTCCCATAAAAACCCATAAAAAAAAACCGGAAAAATCGGATTTTCTCAAAAATGGCCCAAACGATTTTGATAAAAATTTAGTATGTTGTAGCCCTTTAAATTCTGAATAAAATGGTACAAATTCCATATCTGTAAAAATTATGGTTCAAAAGTTATGGTCAAATATGTTATTTTCCCATAACACCCCATAAAATAACGAAAAATAGGATTTTTAAAAAATCCGGTTTTGATTTAACATAGTATGTTATAGTCCTTACAGTTTTGATAGTTTTTTTTTTAAATTTTTTAGAAATTTTTATTTTTAATGGGGGTTTTCCCATAAAACCCCATAAAATAACGGAAAAATATGATTTTCCCAAAAATGGCTCTAACGATTTTGATCAACATTTAGTATGTTATAGTCCTTTATATTCTGAACAAAATGGTACAAATCCCATTTCTGTAAAAATTATGGTTCAAAAGTTATTGTAATTATGACATTTTCCCATAAAACCTCCATAAAATAACAGAAAAGTCGGATTTTCCTAAAAATGACCCCAACGATTTTGATAAAAATTTAGCATGTTATAGTCCTTTAAATTCTGAACAAAATTGTACAAATCCCATTTGCGTATATTTACTCTCACCACTTACACATGATAAAGGTTGTTGACAAACTTATGGGAGAAAGTATGTGTCAGAATGCTGATACCGTTTATTTGTTAATGTATGCATAAAACACCATCTATCCAATATCTTGGTCAGAGAAGACAAGACACAGGTTTTCATGTAGTTTTAACTTGACAGCAGCAAACCACTCCCAATAAGCAGAAATAAGCCCCTGGTGCCCTTCCCATATAATTTATATGCTTACTGATGATAATTTTGTTGACCTAATAAAATAATCTATTCATGATAAATTAATGTGATGTTATAACCACGGCCACCACCTTTAACTCCAGGCCGCGGCCTGGTAGAACTGGCAACGTTGCAAGTAGGGTACTGTTTAGTGTCAGACGTCCCATATAATATAACAAGGCAGACATATGACATCAGCTCATTAATTCGCACTGTATTAATTTAAATTTAAATTTATGATCATAAATTTATTAAAATCATGAAAATAAAACGTACAGAATTATAAACCAAAACAATAATATGAATTGAAAATCGATATCTGTATAAATTTAAAGCAGAGTCAATATTTTCATTGTCCCGTAACCAAGCTTCGCCAAGCTTTCATAAATACACAAATACCATTAGCTGCTTCCAAACAAAACAGCGGCCACAACCCTACTTGTGACGTTGCCACTTCAAAGGCCGCGGCCTAGAGTTAAATAAGGTGGCCATGGTTATAACCCAAGAGCAAAACCATGGCCACATTTGCAAAACACACTGACACATATATTAGTAGTAAGATTTGTATTTAAAAAGATTTCCTAATAAGAGAAAACGTTTAATGATTCAACATTATTGCAATCGTAAGAAATCGGACCATAACACACAAGCCGAAACAGATGAATTATTGCTGTTCGCAAAATTAATGACACTTAATTAATGGATTAATCCGTGGTACGGTACGACCAAATTAAAACTTATATAACCGATTAGAAAAATCTATTTTACTGGTTCTTTTAATATAAAACAAATACTTTTGGCAAACCCGTTCTAATTATATCCAAACATTGGCTATACAACGGTGGCCCCAAGTGGGAGGGGGGGAGGGATATACCCCCCCTAAATATTTTATATTTTATTAGCTAACATAAATAATATTAACTTGAGCATATTTTAGAGCTCAAATATCTTTTAGGCTTTAAAATCCGAATTTTTTTCGGGGGCCCCAGACCCCCCTTTTCTAGAGGATGTTCCATAGCCACCAGACAGACCCCCGCCCGTGGTCATCCCCCCCGTAATGAAATCCTGGGACCGCCACTGTATACAACCACGGCCGTGGTACAACTTTAATAACTCCAGGCCGCAGCCTTCGATGTGGCAACGTCGCAAGTGGTGTTGTAACAGCTGTTTTGTTTGGAAGCAGCTAATGGTATTTGTGTATTTACGAAAGATTGGTTACTGGACTATGACAATATTGTCTCCACTTAAAATGTACAGATATAGATTTTTAATTCATGTTGTTTCGGTTTTCAATTCTGTATGTTTTATTTTCAATAGTTTAATAAATTTATATTCATAAATTTAAATTTAAATCAATAAAGTGCGAATTAATTAGCTGATGTCACCTGTCTGCCATGTTATCTTATGGAAAGTATGTCACTAAACAACACCACTTGTGATGTGGCCAATTCTACCAAGCCGCGACCTGTAGTTAAAGGTGGCCGTGATACAACCAATAATCAATGGTTTAGGGTCTATGTTTAGGCGTGCTATCTAGTAAAAATTAGTGCCCTGTGACAAAAAAAATTTAGGTGGTTGTGGTTGGTTGCGGTGCGGGATTGCTGTTGATTCGCTGAATGCTGAATTGCTGTTGCGTTTTTTATTGTTAGTGCTATTGCTTGCAGCTGCAGCTTTACTTTACTTACTTTGCTTGACGTTTGTTTCGCGTTTTCGTTCCCCAGAACGGTCGAACTGTCATTGTCTTTCTATTTTTGTTTGTGTTGTCAACATCCAGTCTTTGTTCAATCGTAAGTAACGTTGGATTTTAAACCAAAATTGCTTATTTTTGTAAGCTTTCATTGAATATAATAAGTGATGCAATTCATTATTTACTTTCAATTATTAGGTTTCCATGTACAGTATCAAACTTTAGGCCTAGTTCTTGGGTTTTTTACTCAATCTTAGTAGGCTATGAGAATCGTAGGACTAAGACCTCTGTCCTATTGTTAATGCGAGAATATTTAAGTACTGTAATAGCAATATGAATGTTGGCCTTTCCCTTTGTTTACACTTTTACCTTATTAGGCCTAATAGGACTTGGCCAAACTAGTATTTATTTTATTGGATTTTGGTACTTACCTCCCTGTGGTTAGTCTCGATTATTATAGCATATTTCTTCACTTACATAGGCTGGTTTTTAATGTTATGGTAGGCCTAAGGAGACCAAAGTAAATTACATTTCATGAGGGGACAAAAGAAAAAAACAGGAAACGATTAAGTCATACTAACTTATTCGATTAGCAAAATTAATCATCTAAGTTACAGAATGAAACCTGGGCCACCATATATTTTAGATATAGTCTAGCAAAATCAGTACAAATAATACCTAAGTTGTGGATAAGCAAGGACAATACTTAAGTTATTGTGACTTGACAATAATTATGTTAACTTAGTAGTTATAGAATATATTAAATACTTACTTATCCTAGATGGATATTAAATACTTGTTTGCTGCAGGATTTTTTATTTAACAATATCAATCATTATTAACTTAGCCTAATAAGTTATCCTTAGATGATGCAATCACATCTCCACATTTCTTTTTTGGCAAATAAAATTAATTTTTACGTTAACTTACTGTTTAATTTATGACTAAGTTATTCATTGCAATTAAGTTACTACAATAAATTAATTGACACATGACACAATTATGTGTAAGAAGTTTTTTTTTTTTATAACTTACATACTTTTTTTCTGTGTTAAGTTACTTAGTCTATTTATTATTACAAACCCTATGAACATTAGTCTTAAAATGATGCAATCACATTTTCAATATTTCTTTTGAAGGCACAATAGTTACAATATACTACAAAACTAAAAAAAAAAATATTACTAAAAAAGTAATAAATACTACAAAACTAAAATAATACAAAACAGGAAACGGTTAAGTGGCCAGACTAACATTTGATTAGCCAAATTAAGCAAATAAGTTACAGAATGAGACCTTGGGCCACCATATTATTTTAATAAGTAGATAAAGTCTAGCAAAATCAGTAAAAATAATACCTAAATTGTGGATAGCCTAAGCAAGGCCAATACTTAAGTTATTGAGACTTGACAATAATTATATGTTAACTTAGTAGTTATAAAATATATTAAATACTTATCCTAGATGGTTATTAAATACTTGTTTGCTGCAGTATTTTTTATTTAACAACATCAAACATTATTAACTTAGCCTAATATAAGTTATCCTTAGATGATGCAATCACATCTCCACATTTCTTTTTGGTAAATTAAATTCATTTTTACTTTTCTGTTTAATTTATGACTAAGTTATTTATTCAATTCAATTAAGTTAATACAATTAATTTATTGACTCATGACACAATTATGGGTAAGAATTTTTTTGGTGAATATTTTACATACATTTTTGCTACCGGTACTGTTACTTATTTATTAAGTTATTATAAATACAACCCTGGATCATGTCTTAAATATAACTTATGACTATGAACATTGGTCTTAAAATGATGCAATCACATTTTCAATATTTCTTTTGAAGGCACAATGGTTACAATAACATGACCATAGGAACCTAACTTATAACTTATTGATTCATACATTGCCAGAAAGTATATTTAACTTATACCATAGGTAAAAATAACGGTGCAAAATTTTCTCGAGCTCACAAATATTTACTGAACTAGTTTAAAGTTTTGTGTTCCCAACAATAGGCTAAACTTGTTGTAAATAATACCGGAACAATAAAATTTGGTATGACCTACAATAAAATGTAGGTAGATATTTAATCAAGTGTAACTTAACTTAGCCACAAATTAAAGAATTTTCCCGTATAAAAGTAGGCCTAGCTATTATCTTAGGTGTAGCTTTATGTGTAACTACCGTTATGTCTTACATATAGGTACACAATTTTAATCAAAATTGGTTGTTTTTTCAGATTTTCCTGTAGTCTAGACCTATTTTTAATTTTTATAGGGAAAATCACAAAAGCTGCAATCGTTTTTGAACCATAATTTTCACAGGGATAGAGGCACCTTGTTTCTCTTTAATGGCTGATTGTTAATTGATAAATAATATATTGAGGTACTTTATGTCGGAAAAATTGTGTCCAATATCACAAAAAACTAGGATTTTAAATGTGACCAAGCTAGACCATAGATTAAACAAAGGCCTACTCTCTTAGTAGAATTGTCATCTCCTTATAGAATTTCTGAAGACAGTTTTAATGGTAGTTCTGTCCGATGATGCTAGGACCATGTTTTTGTTTACATTTTATTTATTGTTATTTCACTTTTTTTAATACTAGTTTAGTAAAATTAACCTACCCAAAAAGTAAGGCACAATTTATATAATTAATCTAAAATAAGATACTGTACCTAAACAAAATGTTGTCGACACTAGCGCTCAGTGTCACCAACATGAACCAGAAATAAAAGACATGTATCAGATTTTACAATGGGTTGAGAAGTTTTCTGTGTTAGCATAGAAAAACCAACCACAACTAGACTCCTCATCCCATTGTAAATTATGAAGCTCGTTTTTCGTGGGTAGTTCATGTTCGGCGACACTGGGCTGGGCATTAGTGTAGACAAAATTTTGTTTCTATTCTTTTAGGAATCATGATTTGTACTTTACTGTTTGGCTATATAACTAGGGTACGAGTTATTGTTTACGATTATATAGTTTTATTTGGTTAAACAAGGTTTTGAACGGCTGAAATAACAAGAAACAAATTGTAAACAAAACACGACCTCTACAGTGCACCGGACAGAACTAACAATAAAGTTGGCTTCAGCTGTTCCATAAGAATGAGAATTCTAATGGTGTTAGTTAGTATGTGGTTACGTGGTCTTTGGTTTAGTAGCTAAGCAATTTTTACCAATTTAGTGAGCATAGGAAACAGTTTATAGATACTTTTAATAGATATCCTTATCTTATTCCGTAGCAATTTTAAGATTTAATAAGGTTGTCTGATTTCCCAAAACTTTGGGCTCTGAATTTCAAAATAAGAACATTCTTGGCTTTCAATCATAGAAAATGCAGTACCAGTATCCAACAAATCATCTGAATTAGCTAAATAGTAATAGTAAATAGTCAGGCCCAATTGGATAAAACCCTGTCCCTGCCCTGAATTTGGCAGCTAAATATGTTTACTCCTGGCTCATGCCAAATATCCAAAATACCCATAGCAGTTATTTTAAGCTTGTATATAAACAACATCTGGTAGGGAATGACATGCCAAATTCTACCAGTTCGCTTGTATTAAATATAGTGTTTGTTGGACTAAACCAACCACTTTTGTTACTACAACGCTAACTGTAAGCGTACGATTTTTCTTGTTAATAAATTCAGTGATCTTCGATATGATTGTAAGTAGCTTATATTGTTAGTCTTCTGACCATAATCACTTGGATAGCATAGTTTGATAGTTTTACTTTTAGAATTTATATTATAAACTAAATTATTAATGCAAACTCTCTACTTAAAAAATAAAATAAAAACCATCTATGGATGGTGAATAGTAAATTCTAAACGTCTAACGTAGCCTACTTGTTCCTTTGACTCTTCCGAATGTTTCATTAGGCCTAAAATACTAAAATATTGTTTCACAATAATAATTTTTAGGCATAAATCTATATTCTTTTAACACTTTTAGAAAATTTCCAATGAGAATGGAATAAGCTAAATCACATGAAATGACTAGCCCCAGGACCGATTTACTTTTTTGTTTTTAAATCCTCATAGGTTAAAAACACCATCTGTTAAAATTTGTATACAGTACATACATATTAAAAATGTGTCTGTTAGGACAATAACTCGAGTAAAAATGATCCTGTTTTTATTTTTTTGTAATTCGGTACCCGAGAGCAGAATATGGGTGACAGTGCGACATTGTCGCATAAAGACGGCGACGGGTTGCAGAAAACCCAGCCTGCTTGTAAACAAATTATTTATTTATTTTTTTTTTTAAACAAGTATTTATTTACAATATTTTCTATACCCTAGGCCTAATGGAACAATAAGTAAATTTCTTGAAAATTTAACATAAGTTAATTACAAACCAGCGAGTGCACTCACAACATAATAAAACACAAAACGTTTATAAAAAAATTGAACTAGAAACTATTTGGAAGGTCGATTGGATGAATTCTTTTGAGGCTATATGTAGCTTTGTTATTATCAAGGAGGTTAACAGCCTGGGAATTTGGATGTTTTCTTAATGAGAAATTAGGCTGCCTATTTATATTTCCACAGGCAAAGTTAGGGTTAAATGGCCCTTTCTGACACTTAAAATATTTAAGTTTCCACAGAAAATGCTAAAATAGGGCCTAGCCTAAAATAGTTTGTTTGCTGAAAATATGTATGTAGAAAGTCCAATTACCAAAGCGATTCAACAGTAGGCGTATTTGAACCGATACAAGCGTTTAAAAACTTATTTATTTCCAAATATTCATTAAAACTTATCACACACACTGTTCATTTTCACGCAACTCGGACTGGATAAGCCCGCAGAAAATTTCTGGATTTTCCAAGTCCGTTGCAGAAAGTTTAAAAACGTTTTGCTTTTGGGATTCGGTATAAACCTAAATCTACCATGCGAACCATCATGATCGGACTAGGGTAGGTGGTTATATAGGGTAAAAATTGGGGTTTCACACGTTTTACCCTCAAATCATAACATTCCAAAATTTATTTTCAAACCATTCTGTAGAGTTAAAAAAAAAATAATAATTTATTATATTGAAGCGTTGTACTACGATTATGGTTATAAAACTATTTAAAA